TTTGAGGGTAGGAATACTGAAAGTTTTAGAATAGCTATTTAAAACTTAGGGGTTTAGGGCGCCTGGGTGGCTCAGATGGTTAAGCATCCGCCTTCGGCTCGGGTCATGATCCCAGGGTCCTGGGATCGAGTACCGCATCGGGCTCCCTGCTCCTTGGGAGCCTGCCTCTCCCTCTGCTTCTCTCTCTCTCTCTCCCTCTGTCTCTCATGAATAAATAAATAAAATCTTTAAAAATTAAAAAAAAAACTTAGGGGTTTATAGCCACTACTTTCACATTGTCTTCTTTTCATTTAGTATATAACAAAATTTGGTGTTTAGTGAAAGGTGATATAATATAATGGGAAAACCATGACATGCCACTAATACTTGTGTGACTTTGGGCAAGTTATTTAACTTCTCTGATCTTTTGTTTCCTCATACAAAATACAGACATAACGCTGTTGTGTTCAGAATAGTGTTGCGTTGGAAATAATATATGAAATAATATATGGAAAAGTCCCCAGCATCGTGCCTGTTACACTGAAAAAAAAAAAAAAGTATTAGTTTCACATCTGTCTTTACCTATGTCACGGGAATATCTTAAGTTCTGTTTTATTCTTTTTCCTATTTGTTTCAGCAAGAATGGTCACTAGGTGCTTTTAGAAGAGGGAGAGTAAGGGGACAGGCAGTCCTGGTTTTACATTAGCATAATTTACAAGCCCATCTGTGAGCATCTCCACCACTCTCTTTAGAGCAACAGGTACAAAAGAGATTAGAAAAACTTTCAGGAGATACTCTGAAGCAGAAGGAAGGAAGAAGTGATGCAGGAACACATGGTAAATGGGGACACCAGCTGCTACTTGGCGGGAGAATTTACAAAATGAAACTATCTGGTTTTAAAGGCACTTAATCAGCTAGGCTAAATTTGTTCTGGGCTCACTATTTCAGTAGATGGACCTATGGGTTTATTTTTACCAAACTGAAATAAGATGAAAAAATCATGGTGACAATGGAGGACTCGCAACAGTGACAAATTCCTTGCCTGTGAGTTCTCTCTTCTCCATTAGACAAAACAACGATGGCCTCTTTGGTAAATATATATGGTATGAGGATTCCATATAATAGAAATCCTTGCAGAGCATTTGGAAGGACTTTTTTGGGGGGGCGGGGGTAAAGCCGGGTTGAAAAACCCTGTCTTTCATTAAGTACAATATATCGATGCTTTTGCTTCTTAAAAGAACCTTAGAAGTGGTTAAGGGACTTGGACCCATGTATTTGAGCCACAGTCCCTTGTAAACATGAATTCTGGGCAGAGAAGTGGGAAATTGCATTTCTCAGGATGGTGACAAGTACCCTTCCCTTTCTTACAGCGGGGAGGAAAATGGGAGATCTGTGCAGACATTAAGAGTATGATCAGACTTTAATGTTCTTAAACAAAAGAAAAGAAGTAGCTTTCAAAACCTTTAACTTGGGGGATATAGGAAAAACCAGGAGAGACTAATTGTCTTAACTATGCTAATAGTCACACTGACTTGCACTATGTTTCTGTAGCCACAGACCAGACTGGCCTGGATGCACCTGAGTGAGAAAAATATCTTTGAAACCAGAGTGTACTCTAAAAGCTAAATAAGAAAATGAAAAGGAACTGCTTTCACTAGGAAAAAGATTCAACCGAACTGTGCTAAAAGGGTTTCTTTTCTTTTTTTAACTTAACACTATGAAATGTTTTTGCTCTGTATCAAAGATAACAGGAAGCTTTTTCTTTTGTATTTTTACAGATATTTCCATCTCTGAGACTAGAGCTCTCCGGCTTTGGGCTAATAACATGTCCAGATCTAAAGGCATTACAGAAAGAATGTCAATTTGCTCTAGAGGCAATTATACATACAGTCTAGGAAAAGGCCAATTTTACTATGCAAGGACCACACAGGCTGTATGTTTGTTGTATTACTTGATATCAAAGCAGAAACATCAAATTCTTCCTAACACACATGAAATAAAGAGCCTGGCTAAGGAACTCCCACATCCAATTCAGAGATACCTGTTGCAGCTTATAGAACTTGGAAATGCTGCTACTACTGTTTTACTGGAAAGGGACACTGCTATTGACTACATAATGCACTATGATTTCTTTAACTTTATATATATTCTGGGTAAAATGAACATGACTTTGATTCCAGTTGTCATAGATGCAGGCGTATCATTAATGCATGGCATTTAGGTACCATATCACCAGAGTACTAGCAAGAATTTGCTGATTCTATGTCACTAGGTCACCTAAAAATATTTAATCAGTTATCAAGATTATTATCATAACTTCAGAGGGGGTGGTCAATAGCAAGAATTATTATCTCTGTTTCATTTTGCATCCTTATGATTTTGATGTGATGACTTGTATTCATTTAGTGAGCACTTACTATCTCTACTCAGTGCTAAACACAGTCACGGGAGATACAGAGCTAAATGAAAAATGGCCCTTAAGGGAATATATTCTTGAGGTGGGAGAGAGGAGACAGAAAATAGCCACAGTAAATTAGAGAGGTACATGCTATATTTTGCATAGCACATAAGAATGACTGCTAAAGAAAGCGTGTGGTAGAGAAAAAGATGGTCAGAGAGAGAAATGTGAGGGCATCCTTGAATGAAGAGGGATGGTTTCTTGAGTGGATGAAGGGGTTGGTCCTGCAAGAAAAAGATAATGACCAGCATGTAAAGCTACAAGAATGTGAGCAGATCTGCTATCCTTAGAGCAGATCTATGTATGGGCAATGAGCTGGGAGAAGAAAGGAGTGCCAGAGTAGCCCAGGTGCTGTACCACAGTAAGAAGTTTAGGTTTTCTGGGCACCTGGGTGGCTCAGTCGGTTAAGCGTCTGCTTTTGGCCCAGGTCATGATCTCAGGGTCCTGGGATGGAGCCCCAGATCAGGCTCCCTGCTCAGCGGGCAGCCTGCTTCTCCCTCTCCCTCTGCCCCTCCCCATGCTCGTGCTCTCTCTCTCTCTCTCAAAGAAATAAAGTCTTAAAAAAAAAAAGAAAGAAAAAAATAGGTTTAGGCTTTCTACTGCAGGGCATATTTTTATATATTACCCAAATACTCCAAAAGTAAATGAATTAAAACACTGTGATACTGGCATAGAGATAAACTAATGAAACAGAATAGGAAATGGAGAAACAGACTAGAAAATTTAGATGACGTATTTGTGGAAGTTTGATATACAAAAAAGCTAGGATTTCCAATAAGGGAGTAAAAGCGAGATTTTTCAACAAGTGGTGTTTGGACAACTCACTAACCATTTGAAAATAAAATTTAATTCCTATATGCCACACAGTGCATTAAAAAAATCCTCAGATGGATTAATGATATAAATGTAAAACATACCAGAAGAAAATGTTTATAATCTTGGGGTTAGAAGACATCCTTCTTTCTAATGTGACAAGGTCAGATATCACAAAGGAAAAGATAGATGTGATCACAAAACCACAATCTTCAAAAATGTCAAGGTTCTGAAAGGTGTAAGGCACTATAGCTCTAAGAAAAATGACAAATTGGGAAAAATATTTGTAATCTATGTCATAGTTAAAGAATTAGTACCTATAATATATACTGAGCGCCTACAAACCAATAAAAAATCTAACCCAAGAAAAATGGGCAAAGAACACAAATAAGAAATTCTTGAAAGAAATGACAACTAATGGTTATAAAAGTATGTTCAATCTTAGTTACAATCAAAATAATGCTTGTATACAATTTTATTTTTCACCTGTTAGATTATTAACAGGAGATACATGTGGGTGGCAGATATACCAAATAATGATTGGTATTGTCCAGTGTTTGAGAAGGTGTGGAGAAATGACAACTCTCAAATACTGATACTTTTTGGAAGATAATTGGGTAACATTTAAAAATGTGCATATCATTTGATCCTGTATGTCCATAGCTAGCAACTTATTTTATAGAAAAAAATTTATGTGCACACAAATGTGAAAAAAATAGTACAAGGATATTTATTGCACCATTGTTTCTATTAGGGAAAATCTGCAAACAATCTAGTGGTCTGCCAAAGGGTTTAATTTAATAAATTGCAGCATGTAGATACAAAAATTACTATGGTATTGTTAAAAATATATATACTGTCATGGAAAGACATCCATGACATATGTTTAACTGAAAGAAACAATTGACCATAGTATAATCTGCCAAGAGAGGTAGTGAACTACAAAGGTTAGGAGCATGGGCTTCGAGGTCAAGCAGACCTGGATTTGAGTCCCACTTCCATTATCAGATATGCGAAAATGACTAATTCCTCTGAGTCTTGGTTTCTTCATTTGTCCCACTGAAATGGATTCTAACAGAACCTACCTCACAGAGTTATAAGGAGAATTTCTAGCACATAGTAGAGGCTAAGTATATACCAGCTATTATTATTACTGTTATCATTTTTTACATACTTATTATTTTCAACCACTTCTCTTATGAAAACAACTTCAAAAAGCAAATCTAATATCCTTTGGAAAATTATGCTGGAGTCTTTAACTGAATCTATACATCAAAGACCATTTTAGCTTATGTAAAAAAATATTTTTATCTGATCAGCTAGTAGATAGGATAACAAATCTGACACATCAATTTTTGACATAGTTCTGTTTTGAATATTCATAAGCCACAATGCAAATAAGGAACACATTTGGACACTATATTCAAGAATCAAAATAAAGAACTATTACATTTAGATAGCTGCTGTTATGAGAACTTTAAAAAATCTCAATGGCACAAAATAGAAATTGTCTTCTAGTCAGCAAACTGATTATTAATATAATTTTTGTGGTGGTTCTTATGTATACATATTTAGTTTTCAATTGTATTATCAGGAAAAACACACAAAAAAGTGGGAAGGCACCCTTTTAAATATTTTCCTCTAATAACACTAGGAAAATGAGCCATTCAAAATGAGAAAAACATGTTATGTAGTAATATGTCAAACGCTTATATCAACATAAAGCTCATACACAAAGAACCGTACATACCCTTCTATTCGGAAAATTGTTCGAAAGCTGTCTCCCAAGCTTTTATAACTGTTTGGATCAGTTGCACATCTCTGAATCTGGAACCTAGGAGAAAAAAAAATCAAACAAAAAAAATTCCAAGTTAAGGATTTTGCCAAATGGCTTTCCTCATTTTTCAAAGTCTTAGGAAACTTAGCCTTTTCAGGTTAATCTAAAATATTCGGGGTTTTGCTATAGATTTTATTGCTATATTTGCCTTATATAATCTTTACGTTATTTTTGTAGCCTTTACAGTTACATTTCTCTGTACTTCAATAGAAACTCTAGAGAGAGTTTTTTCATCTGTTTCTTAGCCAGGCAGATGCACCCTGAGGCATTTATGCCTTTTTCTTTTATGGAAAGCATACACAGATGTCATAGATTGTTTTAATGTATAATTCAGAAATCTGAAGGTGCACATGAAACAAATAAGTAGCTCTATTTCTTATCTTAATTAGTGCCCCCTTGATGGTAATTTAATACAAAGGTTAAAAATACAGAGCAGCTAATATGGCCTAACTTTGATCCTGATTGTGAATTTGGAATTCATTCTGGTAGACAGGAGCCTGTGCCGAGAGCAAGAGTTGCAGTTGTATTGTGATACAGTTCACAATCCCTACTTCTACTTCATGATGGAACAGAGCTTGTCATTATGTTCAGGCTTCCTGAATTTTCACAGAAGCACTGTGTCCAGTATGCAGTTGGTGCTCAGTAAAAATGTATCGTATTTTAGAAAGAGAAATTCTTTTTTTCTTCTTCTGTTTGGTTATGATCATACATCTCGGGACTCTAACCTTCAAAATTTGGGAGTTTCCCAACGTGAGGGTCTTAACTTATTCATTGTGTATTTTACTTTGGGGTTTGTTTCTAAAGAGATTTATGACAAGTACTCTCGTTTCCCTACACCCCAGTTGTTCTCCATTTTGGGGTTTCTTTAGTCTGCTCACTACTTGTGTTTAACTTCCTTGTCCCAATTCTAAGTTAAGAAGGCCCTTCTGTTCTTCCTTCCACAATTTTACCAAAAAATTTTTAAAAGAACTTTTCAAAAACACGTCTTCTATCATCTACTTTAAGATGCTTTTCTCAGATTGTTGGATTTATAATATGAACACTTCTACCTCTAAGAACGATGTATTTTATGGTTCTAGGCCCCAGGGAATTATGCTGAAAACTGACATATCACAGAAAAGGGCGACTATTTTGCTTTGATTGAAGCAGTTGGGCATATGAAAGGAATGAGTATATTATAAAACTGGAAAGTGAGGCTGGATTATATTTGATTTTGTAGAGAGTTGCTGAACATAATTGTGCAGGAGAGTAGCCATTCTGAGATGAGGAAGTTGAGTATTCCAGCACAGTTCTCCCAGCAGAACACATACAAATCCCTACAAAAATATTTATTGCCTGACTGGGTGGATTGGAATGGGAATATGGAGGGCGAAGCAACCATGAAAGCCATATAATAATCCTGGTGAAGATAATGCCAAAATATCAATGGAGGCAACAGGAATGTAAAGAAAGGGGTGAGCTTGTTGGGTAATCCTTTTTCTCTTTAAATAAATGCGTGTATGTGTGTATGTGTGTGTGTGTGTGTGTGTGTTTTATGATACATTCAACATGACACCCTCTTAATCCTCTTCAACCCAGCAAGCAATATTCTACTATTGCCAAAATTTAAAACGTCCTAAATATTCATCTCCATAATGGTTTTGTCAGACTTAAACCTCTATTAGCATGATCATTTTTAGAAGGTTAGTTTTTAGATAAGAACTCTATCTCTAAGATTTAAACTGTATTGAACTCATCAGAAGATCATGGACCAATACAGCTAACTCATTTAAACTGTTCCGGATCTAGAGGTACATTTGGTGTATGCATAACCACTGGCCCAGAAGGCTCAGTAAGCAGTTCTGTCTAGAACCAAGAACATGATTTCATGGTCAGGTAGATGGACCATGTTTGGTATTTCTGGACTACTGCATATAGATGAGATAACTTGGTACTTTGGATACAAATGAATTAACACTAAACCCAAAATTGTACAATGAGAAAACTATATGTACACCTACACAACAAATAACTTTGCATAAAATTTGTTTATACTACAAATAACATAGGGAGTGACTTCCAAAATATGACGTTGATTCTTGTGTGAAAAAGAATCTCCATCTCTGCAATTGCGTATTTGTAACCTATATTCATTGCTAAGTATGAAACATTTTCTTAGGTCTTAGTCGGGAAGTCCAACATTATTCTCTAACCGTTCTTTTAGGAAAATAATTTAAAATAGTTTTATATATTATAAAAGTATAATAGCTTGTAGATTTTTCTCATATCGGTAATAATTTTCATTAAGTTCACTTACCTCCATCAAATTCCTTTCTAGATGCTTTTTTCCCAAATTACCAAGTATTTTTAAAATAACCATCACATGAAATAAGATCTACAGGTTTTAAAAAACTCAGAGTATCACCTTCACTGTCAAGAGTCACAATAAATAAACACATAAATGAGAAAAAAAATTTACAATATAAAGAAAAATATCCACAATGTCAAGTAGCACCAGCCCCAAATAGCCCAGGTGTTCATCAGAGGGAGCAATTACTGCTTTCTGCAGAGGGTCAGAAAGGACTTCAGGAAGGAGAAGGGATTTGAGCTGGTCTTATAGGATTCAGAGGCAAAAAGAGTAAGCAGGAAAAGGCATTCCGGGTGGGGAAATGAGAGAAACAAAGGCCAGTGAGGAAAAGTTGTCCTTTCAAGAGAAGGGAAGAAAGAGATCCCCCACCATGGCAACCTCCCACGTTTCCTTCAGGACAGGTGTTAATAGGACTCTGCTGTGGAATTCAGTTGCTCAGGTGGAGACTTGAGTGGGTGGGGGGGGGAAATTTATGAGATAAAGTCAAAAAGCCCAGTAGAGACCATTTGACCTCTTCCTGCTCCTCATCTGAGTATTTCAGTGAGGCCATCTCCCAGTTATGTGACCCTGGTCCTAGAAGGGACTATAGATGAGTCAGCAGAGGGACCAAAGCAAGTGCATCCCAATGCCTAGAAAAATGACCTTAGCCCCTCTTTCACTGCTGAAGTTAGAGACATAGGCTTTGTCTATGATGTCTGTGTGCTTGGGTGACACTGAGGAAGGTCTTCCGTCAGCTTACACCAAGATGAATACAGACTACAGTTCTTTCATAATTAACTAGTCATCTAACCTTGCTATTGGAAGTCTAGGCACTTTACTTGTTAGCTGCAATTTCTTTCTTTGTGTAGAATCTGACAGATACTAGTTCTAATCTGCCATTCATTCAGCTAATAAAAGTTCTTGAACACTTAGTATGTAGTAGGTATCCACTATTTGGGGCATTACAAAGAAATAAGACACAATCTTGCTCTTTAGAAGCTTCTAGTTAGGTGAAGAAGCTATGCAAATAGATGATTACCATATGAAAGTAATAATAGTGTTTCAGAGTATCCAGTGTCAGCCCAAGGAGTTTTCCTGGCACTGAGTAAATACCATTACTACTCTTCTTGGAAATGATCTCCTATCTATGGGTGGACTGTAGCTGACAGAAAATACCACTACGTGGAGACACTGGAGCAAGGAGGGAAAACGGGAAGGCTATCTTTGGGCTAAATATCTGTGATTAAATTTTACCCACCCACTTTAGAACAGGCAACAAGAACAGTGAATGGAATCCAAAAGGAGTGTTCCACTTAGAAACTGACTGATGAGTGATGCTGTGTTAATTACAAACAGGAGTGGTGACATCAAAATAACATTACAGGAGGAGCGTCCGCAAGCTGTGTGGTAAAGCAGTGCAAAAGGATGGGCAGGCAGGGTAAATACTAACTCCTCAGTAAAGCCACCCGCCATTCTTCACTAGGCTAAACCAGCTGGAGGTCCCATTAAGCAGGCTAAGGCAAGTACAGCTGTCTCTTCTACTGCCCATCTCAAATGCGGTGTGTCTACACTTTGCAGAGAAAGTGCATGCAGTATTTAGTTCTACTACACATGACTTGTTCGGATCACAGAGTTATCAGTTCTTCTAAGGAATCTGTTTCAAGTTGATATAATTACAATGCATTTTGGTCAGTCATGTAAAACAGCAATTTCCTTCTTCCTCTCTACTACATTTCAGCAACTTAAAAGGTTTCTCTCTTGAACTGAAGCTTTACGTCAGCATTATTCCAAGCTGCCTTCTGGGCTAACAAATTCTCTCTGTGCCCAGGGAGACAATTTTCCAGTTACGTAATACAACTCTTTGTAAAATTACACACTACGTAATACAACTCTTTGTAAAATTACACACTACTCTTGATTGTACTTAGAAGAAAAGGTTGGACCTTTCCATTGTCCTAATAAAAGCAGCTCAGACACATCTGGAATCTCCATCTGAGAAACTTCTCTTATTAGAATGAAATCCTGCTGCCAAACTGGCAAACAGGACAGTGGAGTAACACTCGAGAAGTCTTCAGTGCCTGATGTGCAGTCAGGATGAACCACAAAGAAAGGCGTGTGGCTCAAACCCTACGTACGCCTCATTGCCCAGGAGCCAGCAACCCCGTCTGCTGGGGTGCCAGGGAGCACAGTCCTGCACACTCCTCGAGTGGAGGGAACAGCCCTGTCATCCACCATGCCATAAACATCAAGGGAGTTACTGTGGTAACCACCAGGGCAAAGAAGGGCGGTGCAATGTTCACAAACAAATGTACCAGCATATTTTTAAAAGCTGAAGAATGTTCTCACTCACTAAACTGTTTTTCTCTGAACCAGTCGAGAACGGTTACTGCAGCTTTTGCCACTGGCTTCGTTGTGTCCTTAGCCGGTGATACCAAATTTCAGACTAGTCTGCTGTTGATTCTCAGCACAGTTAGAAATGCCAGGTTAGGCATTCAGCTGGTCTGAGCACTTCTAAGATACGGCCATAAAAAAGATCTGTCTGTAAGAAATAAAATGACTTCGCTTGCCTTAAAAGCTGGAGGACGAGGTTGTCTGAAAATATCAAAACCTCAAATTTATGCAGTGCCTTTATCTGCAAAGTAATTTTGTATCTATCATCTTTTAAAAAATA